TTCCGTGATAAAATATTTAAACAATAAATCTTAAATGTATATTTAAATTCGTCATAAATTTAGATATTATTTAAAACCAGTGCCAAAATCGCCTGAAAGCTTCTTCTGGTGGATTGCCCACTACTCTCGAATGAAATTTGTTTGCGTATCAATGACAAACATAGCGATTACTATTGAAATAGTTAATTTGCAGAGAGGAAGTACAAGATTGATGCAGGCGTGCATTAGACCAACGCCTGCCCTGCAGTGTCGCTGCACTTGCGATTGTCCGGTAGCAACAAACAAATACGGAACTCACTCGTTAGAATCTGCATCCTGACCAAAATCTAGTGTTCTGAAATCTTGCATGTGATATCTGGTATTGTTTCGATGCAGATTTTAAGATTCTTCCAGATTGCGGTTTATAGTAGGTGTTTTCCCTACCATGATTTGAAAGAAACGTTTGTTCTTCAGTTGAAGCATCCTAAACCGAATCATTATGTTGTCGCTGGCGTTTAAGGTTTAGGGCAAAAATCATGCTGATGCAAAGGTAAGCACGAGGTTGCGAGAGAAAAAAACATAATGCGCGCCATGAACAAAGTACAAACCTGTAAGCGAAGTTAGTGAGGATTACGGTCTCATTCAGTTAATATGACTGCCAGGTTGCTTTCTGAACAAGATAAAACAGTCTTTAAAATGTTGACTCTCCGGTTTTTTTCAGCTTTACGCGAGAGGCAGGTTATTTTGGGCCTACGAGGAAAACAGCTACCATAATTCATAGAATTGGGGCATTTATTAGCATCAAAACCAAGTTCGCCGACATTCTCGGCAGTTAGTGAACTCTTTTGCTGTTCAGTGAGTAAACTTTGCCTGTTCAGCTCAGTTATACTTTCCACCTTCATATTATTCTTGTCGAACTAATGCTCTTGCAACGATGTATCGTGGAAGTGATCACGTTTCTTCGCGGCAGTCTTATTATCAATGTCTCGCTTTGTTACTTTTTACAAGGAAAATGGGCGAAAAATTCATATTTGCGAGATTGTGGGATTATGGCACGGTGTTTTCCCCTTCCCAGCTGTAAAATCATAATTATGAATTATGACATTACAGGTTGATGATATCGAAACGGAGGTCACTGCTGGGCTACAGGCCTCAAGAAATGGGAAGTGTCCTTAACAACGGAATCCAACGGACATGACGCCGATTACAGATCTTCCGTGTTTCTTCTTTTGCATTAATGCACTATATCTGTCTAAAAATTTTTATTTTCATCAATCTCTTCAGCAGCTCCTTTGATGTAGGCTTGGTATCCATGTATCGGAGCTCAGGACTATTTGCTAGGGCGATACACGGCGAAATGTTGACTATAACATTTCACAAGCGCAAGAGAGGAGCATAAGTTTCAACCATAAAATTCTTCAGCCATTGACGAGGTCAAATAACTTGGCTTAATGGCTTCTTCAAATATTAAATAGTCAGCTCACATTATGGCTGTTTCGAATATGATCAGTTAGGTATCCTATTCTGAGCGTCGCCTGATAAACGCCGGGATACAAACAACAGTAGTGCATTGATTTTTCAGCGCATATATCTTGCCTACAGTGGCTTACACTGATCCAACCAGCTTCCGAGGTGTGAAGAAAGCTGACTTTGAGCTGATCTGTCAGGCGATGCATTTTGTGCCTCGGGTCAGTGAGATACGCTTCGAAACTCTAAAAGAACAGGAATTCGATTTCATGATGAAACACCCGCTGCAACTCGCCTTGCAAATTTTGGATGGTAGCAGTCTTTCACTGAACGTCTCGCTTCCATCGTATCTAGGAGAGAGGTGAACTTCTCATCAAATTATGCTGGAATGCGGGTGAGCTGAAGAACTTCGTCGGATCAAGATGGACAAAAGTCACAGAAAACAAAAGTATATGAAAAAATTTTGGAAAGGCCTCCATCAAGTAACAGATGGAAAAGGCTGTTGAAGATGCTGAAAGACAGACTTGGCTCTGCATAGTCAGGTCTCAAGCGGAAAAATTGAATTAGTATCTCTGTAAAGGTAGGCTAACGAGGCCACCACGGCGGGCAGAACTCTTTATGACTCATACTAATGCTATGTCCAGAAGAAATACGCTTTAATTGCAAACCCGGGCTGAAGAGTTGGGACTACGGATCACATTATTCCTGAAGTAAGCATCATATATCCTTTGAAAGACGATAAATGACTCATTAGCAGCAACTGTCAAAGGTCACATCAATATCTGATAGGTGATCGCTAGAATTAAAACGAAAATAATATTCTTTTTCGACAGCCTCCGTGACCAAGGTTTAGGATATC